GCAAGATGCTTCAGACAAACCGGCCACAACCAAACTTGCTTGTGAACCTTCCGCCACAACAATCCTGCCCTCTTGATAAACAATTGCATTCACTTTATTAACTCGTGTAAAGTCGTGCACCACTCGGGAGAATTTGGAAATCCGACGGTTGGAACAGCTGCTTCCCTACGACTTTAAAAAGAACTGTAAGAAGATGGTCAAATGAAGCCAAAGCAGCCCTGCAAGGTTGTTTTGAGGCTACAGACTCGCATACACTGTGTTAACCACATGGAGAGCACATCAACACAATGAGTGTATGACCAACTACATAACATTCTGTGCAGATAAACCATCCCTACCAGAACTGTGAAAGGTTTTCAAATGGATAAATCATTGGTTCACAAGTGATCAACGTGACTACTACTTCTCAACATGAAAAATAAGCCTTTAAGAAAGGAATCAATGAGAATATACAGAAGCAGCTTAAGGTCAAGATAAGAGAAAGCAGGAGGCATACCTGAAAAGAATGGAAAACAAGTTCCAGTCGAACAATATCAGAGATGTGTAGTCAGTGATGAATACAACTAAAGGACTGAATAGATTAAACAGGTTCAGTTCAGGATCAAGCTCCGCATCCTCCTCTCCTGCACAGTCACATAGACATCCTGTCCTCCGCTGCCATTGATTCTCCAGTTTGTTGTCAGCCAAATCAGAAGATGCTGTTAGATGGTAATAAAAAATTGTCAATTTTAACGTTTTATTTAGATTATAAATATATATGTAATAAAAATAATCCTATTTTTGATGTTTTAAAAATTAAGACCTACGAAAGACTGAGTTAAGACATTTGAATACCAATTAAGGCCTTAGTTTTATTTTGAAGAATTAAATGCCTTTTAAGAATTTTTAAGGACCCACGGAACCCTGTCATCCTTAGTCTGATCCTGGAGACAGTTCCAGTGATGTGGAAGACCTTTTTGCCTTGTTCCAGTGCCACAAAAGACTACGCCAACAGTCCTCAGTGAGTATAGACAAGTTTCCATGACATCCCACATCATGAAGGTCCAAGAGAGACTTCTGTTTTTTCAAGTCAGCAAGCAAATAAGCAGCTATAAGGACCCCTGCAGTTTGCTAATCACCGTGGAGTTGGTATTGAAGATGCCATCTTGTACTCCATTTACACTACCCTCTGAAAACCAAACCGTGCCGAGTTCACGCTGAGATTGGATCAGTTAACTGTACCTAGCACGGTTGGCGATCTACACTACTACTGCTCTCTAGAAGTAAACAAGAAAACAACATGGCGGTGCCCATAACATTCAGGAAGTTATGTTTTGTTATCATTGTAATATTTCACTGTTTGCAGAGTCAGGCAAAAAAAGGCAGCCTTTGGTGAATTTACAGAGTCTGCTTTTGGGAATTAGATACGACAAACGATAGTCTAAAGTGAAGAAGATTATGGGCAACAGTGAGCATCCTCTTCAGAAGACTTTTAAAAAATAGAGTGTCTTCAGTCAGAGGCTCCCCCAGATCCGGTGCAAGACAGACTGCTACAGATCCTCCCTGCCTACAGCTATCAACACCTGGAAAGAAATAATCTGTAAATTACTGCAACATGTAATTTCCCTATGTGATTAATAAAGCATTTTTGAATTGAATGTGTTTAGTTAACATTCACAACAATGGTGCTGAGGCATAAAGAGAAAATCAATGGTAATATTATGGGAATAATACTCTGAGCAGCAGGGAGGGATTCTGGGTTTGCAGTGTAAATAACCTATTTTCTACTGACAGCAATCCGTTTATGTATTCAAACTTTTTTATACAGATTGTCTCAATGAAACCCATTGTCCTATTGTGTATCGATCAATGGGTAATAATGTTAGTATGATATCAGTTTAATCTGTTAGTTATCTAGTTTCTTTTTTGTATTTTTCAACTTGTCTTTTTCCTAAGCCTCTGAGGGAATTGATTACGGTGAGATATCAGAGGTGTGAGCAAGAACCGTCCGTTCAAATGCTGATTGGTCAGCCTGTTTATGAGTACACCTGCTTTTGGTTTGATTCTTTTCTCTGTGTTCTACTTTTTATTTAAACAAAAAAACGTTGAGTGTTTTGCGACAATGACCCTGAAGATGGCCACCGTCCGATTGTCTGTCATTAAAGTTATTTCCTAGTATTTTGGTTTTTCCTGTTAAACCTGCAGCCACAATTAAGACCTGAAACTATAAAAATAAATGATTAACAGCTTAATTATAAAGCTGACACATCTTCCTCACTTTGATGCTGTTGTCTGCGATTCTGCTTCAGTAGAGATTTTTTTTTCTGGTCCTTTAGTGGAGTTAAATGTGTTTTTATTTTTACCTGATGAGTCTGTTAGCTCCATGCTGCTCTTTGGGCCACAATGATTAACATGTTTTACTGGTAGAAGCTGCAGAGCAGCGTGGCATGTGATCAATATGGTCAGTGTGGGTGCTCCATAGAATAGCCATCTCTGTTATTTACACACAAGCTTTGGTCATAAAGGTCAAATCCTGAACTTCCTGCTTCCTGGGATGAGTTTGTATCAACAGAGAATGACTGTTACTGTCTGCAGCTGTTTGTGATTCTATTAACAGACATGATCAGTGTCACTCTAAATGACACATGTAAGCTAATGAGGAATTTAGACTAAAGTTTTATATCTACATTACCATATTCATGATGTAAGTTTGTAAAATGAGATATAATGTAAAATAAACTATTGATTTTTTTTAAATTAGAGGCTTAAAGTAAATGTACATTTCTAAATAGTCAAAAATTTGAGAATAAGACAACATATATATTGTGAATTTCAAATGAACTCTAAATATATAAAAAATCAGATTATTCACCTTAAATGGAAAACGTTTAAATTTTTAGTAGTTTTTTCTTTTTCATTAATATTCCTCCAGTAAAACACAGAGCTCTTACCCGTCATGTAATTAGTCCACTTGTATAAAATCCCCTCCATGACTTCCCCAAACATCGGCTGATGAAGCTGCCTGTTAGCTAGCAGCTAAAGCTGCTAACTGGCTAACGGTCGTTTACAAGCGGCGCTCCTCTAAAAATTAATGTGATTATTTCCTGAAAGGTGCTGCTGGACGGACACCTTTAGACCGACAGGTTGGGTTTGTTCGCAGCAGAACATCGTCTCAGCGGGCGGTCAGCTGATAATGGAAAGTATCAACAAAAACAGAAGCAGTCCATCTACGGCAGCCTGTGAGGGACAGTTGCACAATCCTAAGCCTCATTAAGAATAATATGGCGATAAAAAGGCACTGGTTTTCCCTGTGGGCTGCGCAGGCTGCTTTAGTGAAAGTGAATGCTTGCTTATCTGAGGTGATTTGATCTGACTATAAATCCATTTGTTCAAAGAAGATCTTAGAGAGAACAGCGTGTTTAGGGGAATGAAGAGTGTGACACAGCTGGAAACCTTCAGACATACAAAATATGTCTACATTTTATAAGTAGCCAAACTTCGAGAATATGGATATGTATGGATACGGAAGAGGATTAGGGCCACTGGGAAAAAAGTTAACTGATTTTTTTTTTTTTTTTTATCAGTTTAGTATGGGAAAAAAGTCAGAATTCTGACAGAATTCTGATAATAAAAAAGTCAGAATTCTGAGATTATAGTCAGAATTCTGAGAAATAAGTCAGAATNGTCCAAGATAAGTCATTACAGTTAACATAAGCCTGAAAACAGGGGCGGATTTAGGAAAATCGGTCTCCGCCAGTCACGTGACATTTGTTGCTAAGACGCCATTTTAGGTGGAAAAGGCATAGTGTACCGCGCCCGAGGTAAACAATTGACGTCACTTGGCGGAGACCGATTGAAGATGCCATCTTGTACTCCATTTACACTTCCCTCTGAAAACCAAACCGTGCCGAGTTCACACCGAGATTGGATCAGTTAACTGTACCGAGCTTGGTTCCTTTCAACCATTTACACACCACGCTAGCACGGTTCCTCGCCTTCAAGTGGCGATCTACACTACTACTGCTCTCTAGAGGCAAACAAGGAAAACAAAATGGCGGTGCCCATAACATTCAGGAAGTTATGTTTTGTTATCATTGTAATATTTCACTGTTTGCGGAGTCAGGCAAAAAGGCAGCCTTTGGTGAATTTACAGAGTCTGCTTTTGGGAATTGGATACGACAAACGATAAAGTGAAGAAGATTATGGGCAACAGTGAGCATCCTCTTCAGAAGACTTTTAAAAAATAGAGTGACAGACTGCTACAGAAGATCCTCCCTGCCTACAGCTATCAACACCTGGAAATAAATAATCTGTAATTTACTGCAACATGTAATTTCCCTATGTGATTAATAAAGCATTTTTGAATTGAATGTGTTTAGTTAACATTCACAACAATGGTGCTGAGGCATAAAGAGAAAATCAATGGTAATATTATGGGAATAATACTCTGAGCAGCAGGGAGGGATTCTGGGTTTGCAGTGTAAATAACCTATTTTCTACTGACAGCAATCCGTTTATGTATTCAAACTTTTTTATACAGATTGTCTCAATGAAACCCATTGTCCTATTGTGTATCGATCAATGGGTAATAATGTTAGTATGATATCAGTTTAATCTGTTAGTTATCTAGTTTCTTTTTTGTATTTTTCAACTTGTCTTTTTCCTAAGCCTCTGAGGGAATTGATTACGGTGAGATATCAGAGGTGTGAGCAAGAACCGTCCGTTCAAATGCTGATTGGTCAGCCTGTTTATGAGTACACCTGCTTTTGGTTTGATTCTTTTCTCTGTGTTCTACTTTTTATTTAAACAAAAAAACGTTGAGTGTTTTGCGACAATGACCCTGAAGATGGCCACCGTCCGATTGTCTGTCATTAAAGTTATTTCCTAGTATTTTGGTTTTTCCTGTTAAACCTGCAGCCACAATTAAGACCTGAAACTATAAAAATAAATGATTAACAGCTTAATTATAAAGCTGACACATCTTCCTCACTTTGATGCTGTTGTCTGCGATTCTGCTTCAGTAGAGATTTTTTTTTCTGGTCCTTTAGTGGAGTTAAATGTGTTTTTATTTTTACCTGATGAGTCTGTTAGCTCCATGCTGCTCTTTGGGCCACAATGATTAACATGTTTTACTGGTAGAAGCTGCAGAGCAGCGTGGCATGTGATCAATATGGTCAGTGTGGGTGCTCCATAGAATAGCCATCTCTGTTATTTACACACAAGCTTTGGTCATAAAGGTCAAATCCTGAACTTCCTGCTTCCTGGGATGAGTTTGTATCAACAGAGAATGACTGTTACTGTCTGCAGCTGTTTGTGATTCTATTAACAGACATGATCAGTGTCACTCTAAATGACACATGTAAGCTAATGAGGAATTTAGACTAAAGTTTTATATCTACATTACCATATTCATGATGTAAGTTTGTAAAATGAGATATAATGTAAAATAAACTATTGATTTTTTTTAAATTAGAGGCTTAAAGTAAATGTACATTTCTAAATAGTCAAAAATTTGAGAATAAGACAACATATATATTGTGAATTTCAAATGAACTCTAAATATATAAAAAATCAGATTATTCACCTTAAATGGAAAACGTTTAAATTTTTAGTAGTTTTTTCTTTTTCATTAATATTCCTCCAGTAAAACACAGAGCTCTTACCCGTCATGTAATTAGTCCACTTGTATAAAATCCCCTCCATGACTTCCCCAAACATCGGCTGATGAAGCTGCCTGTTAGCTAGCAGCTAAAGCTGCTAACTGGCTAACGGTCGTTTACAAGCGGCGCTCCTCTAAAAATTAATGTGATTATTTCCTGAAAGGTGCTGCTGGACGGACACCTTTAGACCGACAGGTTGGGTTTGTTCGCAGCAGAACATCGTCTCAGCGGGCGGTCAGCTGATAATGGAAAGTATCAACAAAAACAGAAGCAGTCCATCTACGGCAGCCTGTGAGGGACAGTTGCACAATCCTAAGCCTCATTAAGAATAATATGGCGATAAAAAGGCACTGGTTTTCCCTGTGGGCTGCGCAGGCTGCTTTAGTGAAAGTGAATGCTTGCTTATCTGAGGTGATTTGATCTGACTATAAATCCATTTGTTCAAAGAAGATCTTAGAGAGAACAGCGTGTTTAGGGGAATGAAGAGTGTGACACAGCTGGAAACCTTCAGACATACAAAATATGTCTACATTTTATAAGTAGCCAAACTTCGAGAATATGGATATGTATGGATACGGAAGAGGATTAGGGCCACTGGGAAAAAAGTTAACTGATTTTTTTTTTTTTTTTTATCAGTTTAGTATGGGAAAAAAGTCAGAATTCTGACAGAATTCTGATAATAAAAAAGTCAGAATTCTGAGATTATAGTCAGAATTCTGAGAAATAAGTCAGAATCCTGACCTTTTTCTCATACTAAACTGAAATAAAATTATAAAATCAGTAAACTTTTTTTTTCCAGTGGCCCTAATCCTCTTCCGTATATGGATCAGACAGTATTAAAACGAAGTTTTGCAGTTATATTAAAAAAAAAAAAATTGTAATTTGCCCTTAACGTTTAATAAAATGTAACTTTAAAAAAAAGAAAAAAACACACTAGTTTCAGAAAGACATGCAAAGTACTAATACAAAGTTTATATATTTAACATTTATATCATGATATTTTGTTCCATGTCATCATAAGCAGTACTCCAGTTTA